AAATTAGGAATACAAGTGATACATTAAACAAAATTTGAGGATCGTGAATGCAATTAAATTGTGGTCCCAACATAATCACGATTTTCTTAATTACATTTCCATTTTGTAGGATATTTTTATTTGAGTCTCACTCTTTGAAAAAAAAAAAAAATATTTTTAAACAGTATTTTGATATTATTTTAATTATACATTTTCAATAAAATAATATTATATATAAATATAAATTTTTTTATTTTTTAATCATATATTTTTTATCAATACAATATTCAGAAATTTATTCATATGAAAAGAATGGGCTCAAACAAGGCTAAAATTTTTAATTTTCGCAATTCATTAGAAGGTCATCTTTGAAAAGAGTCACCCGGCGCACTTTAGCTCCCCTACTCCTTTTCATCATCTCCCTCTGTACTGCCTAATAAAAAGAGCACTCGAAAAAAAAAAGAGCACACTGAAGAGCTTCCAAAACACATCACACATTCGGTCTGAGGGACACAAAAATCATTTAACTCTCAAGACTGATCTTATCCTTCTATATTTGCATTTATTCAGATATTCGGGGTTGAAAAATGGAGAAACGAATTGTTGTGATTAATTACGACCTCAAAGCTCTTGGCATAGTGTAGAACTCTCAAAAGAGATCTCTGGGTTCCATTTTAACAAAGAAGAAGCCCCCCTTTTTCCTCCTCTTCTCTTCTCTTTTTCTTTTCGGGGAATGGGTTGTAAGAGAACTATAGCAGTGGACTTAAATCCAGAGAGGAAAAGGAGTGGTGGGTTAAGAACTAAACAGGCAGGGCGTGGGTCTTGCAGGGGAAGTTAAGCTATTTGAGGGTAAAGCAAAGGAAAGGAAGGAAAATGATTTTTGTCTTGGAGGAATAATTATTTTTCCTCTCTGTTCTGAGTTGCATCATTTTGAATCATCTTTATATATCCATACATACAAGAATATAAGCATATTCGTACATACGTGCTGTTCATTACTAGCGCATGCTGGTTTCCACAGTTACTGGGACATTTAGTAATTTTTCAATGGGATATTTGTTAAAAGAAGCTTTGAAGAATCTCTGTGGAGCCAACCAGTGGTCTTACGCTGTTTTCTGGAAGATCGGTTGCCAAAACCCTGAGTGAGTTCAATAAAAAATAAAAAACCTCAATTATACTTTCTCTTGAAATTAAAAGAAAGTAATCGAGCCCTTTCGTCTGGAAGATTTTGTGTTGTGTCTGTGGGGTGGGTGTTCGTTGATGAGGAAAATGGAAAGCGGAAAAAGGAAAAAAGATAGATATTCTTGTTGATCAATATGAATGTCATTATTTGTGTTTGCTCTTTTGGGGTTGCTTTTTGTCAATTTGCATGTAAAGATTTTCCTTTTTGTTCTTGGAACTTTGTGCGGACCACTGTTAATGGAGAGAAATGAAGCAACCCAATCGTTGCCATATTTTCTATTTGACTAAATTAGATGATAATTCTTTTAGAAGCAACCGAATCGTTACACATAGCTAACTTTGGGTTGAAGCTTCCTAGTTTGGCGGTAATTAAGATATGGTTTGTTGTGTTAAAGATTTATTAGACATCATTGTCTTGTTTCTTGCATTGTGATCTAGTGACTTTCGTTTTCAAGTTTTGGAGTTTTGTGGTTGTCCATTTGCTTTTTCTTGAAAAATTTTAGAGGATGGAAAAGGACCGTAGATTTGTTTTAGGCTCACGAAGCCCTTTCTATGTTATGATTTTCCTCTCTATTAATTCGATCACTTTTGACACTGATAATGCCTTTCTTGTTTGAACCTGTGTGTTCTTACCTTCTTGTCTTCAACAATTTTCTCTCTCTTCGATTTTCTTTTCTTGAACTATTTCACCATGAGACAATAGAGTGCAATACACGTGGATCTTTTGGATTATAACATTCTGCAAGATCTAGCATTTTGTTGATTCTAACAGAATTTTTAATTGGCAGGCTTTTAATGTGGGAAGAATTTTTTTCTGAACCTGTATCAAATGCCCATCTTCCAGGCATTTCCAGGATTGAGGAGCCGGGAATTGGTTTTGATGGTTATAATGCTTGTGGGTTTTCAGCTGAGGTTCAAGCAGAGGATAATTTGCATTTGCTTATAAATAAGATGATGACAGACAATCATGTTAATGTAGTGGGAGAAGGGTATAATAATTTGAGCTTGAATAGTTTAGACCATGTTTGGCATGCAGTGTTAGACATGAGTAGACAGTACAACGGACAAGATTTCTCTTCCCTTTCTTTTGTAGTAATGTCTAGTCATGTCCAATTGTCACGTCCAAAAACGTCATCAGTGGTTTGCTTGTTCTATTTAGACTTGACAAGTATTTTCCTTGAATGCACCTGTAATTACACTTTTGAATTTGTCTGTCAGATTAGTTGGAAGGGCTGCATTTACAGGAAACCATCAGTGGATTCTCTCTGAGAATTGTACTAGAGAAGGCCATCCACCACAGGTATAGTACAATATCCTTTTTTTAGTGCTTTAAGGATAGGATTCTTAGTAGTGAAGGTGCATTTTTTATTATTGCTAAGCTGTGCACATCTTCGTAAGTGCTTTGGTTGAGGACATAATTTAAATAAATAAAATTGTTTCCATTGTAGAAACTTTGAGCTTTTAGATAATAGGGTTCAACATGGTGCGGGAGCTAGCAAAGGTACTAGATTCTAAGTCATACCACCTCCGATTTATGAAAGTTGTGCATTTGGTAGCCTTTTGATTGAAAAATTGAATCTGACCTATATGTGACTCGACAATTTTAAGACATAATTCAAATATTTGTTGTTTCTCTGATAACTTAAGGTTTTTTATGAGGTGGATCAACAACTTCCCACCACAAGATTTAAATGTATAAGAGCATCTCCAATAGTGGTGTAAAATAGAGATTTAGTGCCTAGAAACCTCTCCAATGGAGAGATTCAAAGTAGATGCAAATTGTATTTTTACATTTACAAGAGGCAAAAAGTGGATTTAGATCCTTTTATTGGAGCAGAATTTGGATTTAGATTTATTGGGATGAAAATGATAATGCAAAAGTGGTGTTGAAGATACCAATTTTGCACCTAATTTTACATCATCATTGAAGATGCTCTAATGCTTGATTTGGCAACTCTACTTCAGTTTGTTGAAGGCGTAAGCTCATTTCAGTTAGATTAGACTGCTTCTAAAGTTATATAGAATTGTTTTACTGGGGAAATTTCTAAAACGTACGACTATATTGAGTAAACTTTCATCATTTGTTGTTCTTCTAGGTTCTTCGAGAGCTGTGCCAACAATTTTCAGCTGGCATGCAGGTATAAAGTTTCACATCTTTCTCTGGTGTGTTTGCTGTCTTATATTTTGTTGTTCATCAATCTTTTTGGTTTCTCTCAGACAGTTGCTGTTATTCCTGTTCTTCCTCATGGTGTCATTCAGCTTGGTTCATTCTTTG